AGGCAAGGTGGTTGCTTATGGCTCGAGGCAACTCAAGATTCATGAGCGGAACTATCCCACTCACGACTTGGAGCTAGCCGCTGTGGTTTTTGCTCTTAAGTTGTGGAGGTGTTACTTGTATGGAGAGAAATTTCAAGTGTTCTCGGATCATAAAAGCCTCAAGTATGTGTTCACACAGAAAGAATTAAATCTCCGGCAGAGAAGGTGGATTGAGTACTTAGAAGATTACGACTTCACTCTCAACTATCATCCGGGGAAGGCTAATGTAGTAGCGGATGCATTGAGTAGGAAGTCTCAGGGTGAAATCAATGTCCTTGCGGCTAAACGGTGGAAAATGATGGATACGTTGGAGGAGTTTGATCTATGGGTTAATGGACCGGAGGATCGACCATGTTTGTTTAACCTAGTAGCTCAACCAATCCTCCGACAAAGGATTGTGGAGTTGCAACGATTAGATCCCGAGTTGACAAAAATTCGGGATAAATTGGAGAGGAATGAGATTGTTGAGGATTGGTCTTTAAAGAATGAGGAGTTACAGTTTTGGGGAAGATTATGCGTGCCAAACGACGACCAAGTGAGGGAAGAAGTGTTGGGAGAGTGTCACCGATCGAAGTTCTCTATACATCCGGGGAGTACAAAAATGTATAGAGATATGAAACGACAATATTGGTGGAGTGGAATGAAGAAGGATGTAGCAAAGTTCATTTCAAGGTGTGCCGTATGTCAGCAAGTGAAGATTGAGCACCAACGACCTGGAGGATTATTACAGTCTCTGCCTATCCCGGAGTGGAAGTGGGATCATATCACCATGGACTTCGTGTCGGGTTTTCCACGGACTTCAAGAGGGCATAACGCCGTATGGGTTATCGTAGATCGACTCACCAAGTCAGCTCACTTTTTGGGGATGAAGACCACAGACTCGTTAGAGATCTTGAGCAGACTATACATTCGAGAGATTGTTCGATTGCATGGAGTTCCACTTTCTATCGTGTCGGATCGCGATTCTCGTTTTGTGGCTCGTTTTTGGCAAAGTCTACAACAAGCTATGGGGACAGAATTACATTTCAGCACAGCCTTTCACCCTCAAACAGATGGCCAATCCGAGAGAGTGATACAGGTTTTGGAAGACATGTTACGGGCTTGCGCATTGGACTTCAAAGGGAGTTGGATCGATCACTTACCGTTGGTGGAATTTGCGTACAATAACAGTTACCAAGCGAGTATCGGAATGGCGCCGTATGAAGCTTTGTATGGAAGACCATGTAGATCCCCGACATGTTGGTTGGAAGCCGGAGAGAGTAGTATGTTTGGGCCCGAGATTGTACGGGAGACAACGGAGAAGATTCAGCTCATTCGGGAGAGATTACGCACAGCACAGAGTCGACAAAAGAGCTATGCGGATAGGAGAAGAAGGCCTTTGGAATTCAAGGAGGGAGATTTTGTATTTCTTAAAGTGTCACCCAAGAAGGGCGTACTTAGATTCGGTAAGAAAGGAAAACTCGCTCCAAGGTACATCGGTCCATTTGAAGTGATCAAGACAGTGGGCAAAGTAGCATACCAACTTCGGCTACCAGTATCATTGTCAGGAGTTCATGACGTGTTCCACGTTTCGATGTTGAGGAAATGTCAACCAGATACGTCGCATGTCGTGGATTTGGAGGATATTGAAGTGCAAGATGGAGTCACCTATGAAGAGCAGCCGGTGAAGATTCTTGATATCCAGGAGAAAGTGCTTCGCAACAAGGTAATCCAGCTGGTGAAAGTCCTGTGGCAACATCATGGCGTAGAGGAAGCAACTTGGGAACCGGAGTGGGAGATGCGAGAGAAATATCCATATTTGTTCGCTACTTGAGGTAAGTTTCGAGGACGAAACTTTCTTTAAGGGGGGTGGATTGTAAGACCCTGTACTAAAATTAAATAAGAATACTAATATCTTAAGAGTTTTTCAAATATGAATAAAATGAGGATAAAAACTTAGAATCATTGTTGAAATATTAATCATGAAGTTTGAGTTTCGAACGGATTGACTTTTGGGTCAAACTTAATTTTTTTTTTTTTGGATGTGTTTAAGATTGATAAGGGTAACTAAATAAATATATTAATTTTTTTATCAAAATAACATTACCATTGAATTCGGGAGGTCGAAAACATTGGGAGAGGTAATATGAGATGTATTAGAAGTTAGGAAGTATTTTAGAAGTAAAACCAAATTGGAGTGAAATTGGGTAAAAATGGGTGATGGACACTGCTTAGTATTTTGATCATAACTTTATATTTTGATGTCCAATTGATCTGAAATTTTGACAGGAAATAGTAGACATCTAGGGCTACAAAAGTGTATTTCATGAAAAATTTCTAATTCGACCTCTAAATGGGTCAAAACTGACCTGGAAGTCGCACCAAAAATCTGTGAACAGTACGAAGAAAACCCGATTTTTCTGAACAGAAAATATCGGGTTTTGCTCGATTTTCTTGCCCTATAAAAACCTAATGTCGTCCCTTTAGCATTCATTTCACCCCTCCAAACCCTAGGAACCATTTTAGAGGAAGAGATGAAGATAGAAATACCAATCAAGAGGGATTTATACCTTGTAGAAATCAAAACTTCAAATTCTTCAAGAATACATTCTCCTCCCATTTTCTTCCATTCTTGCTACCCTCTCACCCAAATATTTTGAAACCCTAGGAGGAGAAGATTAAGAGGAAAAGAAAGAAGAGCAAGAAGGTCTTGAAGCTTGGGTCTTAGCTTGGAATCTTGATTTAAGGTAGGGAATTTTCTCTCAATCTCTCACATTGAGGCTAGATATATATATATAGATATATGTTTCTTCACTCTCCTTCTCATATATATAATATGAAATACATGATTCTTGTTCTATTTGTAATAAATGTCATGTTTTGAACAATATGAAGGGTGGGTAACCACCAAAACTCTATTGATTTTTTTTTTAATCTTCAAAGCCCTAGTTTTCAAGAAAAGAGGATTTTCTCCTAATTTCTTCTTTGTCTTTGATTTTAAAACTTTAGTGTTGAATATTGTATAACAAATGATATAGATTACGATCTCTTGCATATTTTCTTGGATTATTCGATTATATGACAAATGTGAAAACAAAATTGGGGATTTTACTATATTTGGGAAATTGTTGTGAATTGTGAATATTCTTGATTTCTCATTGTATGGTTGTTGTGATGGACTTGGATTACCTTCGAGGTTAGTCTATCCCAATGGGGGGTGAGATGGTGGCCTAATGCTCGTAGTGGATCGTTGTTGTGCTCGCGATCACTATTGTTCACATATACACCGAGGAGAAGGGTTAGTATACTAGACACCTTGGGAGGATTTCGTCAATGCCGTAGGAGACGGTACACGCCCTTCCTAAAGAGATTTGTGAGTGTTTGTTGGAATTGGTGGACTAGACATGATCGTTAGGTAGATTCACGAGAAGTAATCAACATATATGGTACGGGGATGAACCAAAAATACATGGAATCGGGAGTTGGGTCATTCTTGCCGACGCATTGGTATGGGACAATGCTAGGGAGAAGCCCTTCTTAAATAGCTTAAATTAGAATTTTGTTTATCGATGCTAAACTCACTTTATTCTTTTAACTGATTATTGCTATTGTTTAAACTTGAGATCTCTTTTAAAATGTCACTGTTTTCATTCCAAACCTATATATATGTTAGTTGTGAAATGAGACCGACCGTTTGCTATGTTTTTCAAACCTTGTTTGAGTTGAGAGGATTTTGCTACAGAGCTTCGTGCTCACCCCCTACAAATAAAATTTTTTCAGATTTCACACTTGAGGAGGAGTTAGGAGCCGAGGAGCCCACCCATTGGAAGACTCCGCTTGACGGGGATGTGGATCCCGAGGTGGACGCTTAGAGCGACACTTTTATTTTGTTCTAGACTAGATTATGCTTAGAATATCCTTTTGAACTCTAGTTCATTTCTATTATTTCCGCTGCGTTATATTATTACATTTTGGAGATGTAAAGGCCAAGATTAGACCTATTAATTTGGGATGATAGTGTGGATATGATATATGATGAATGCAAGTTTATTTTATGATGGAAAAATGGACCCGGTGTGATCAATAGTTATGCATATGTGGACCCGATGTGGTCAATTGTAATATAATTGTACAGGTTGTGTTTGGGTAGAACTCCCCGTACAAAGGAGACTCTGTCCAAATTTTGTTAAAATATGAATGGTTGATGAATGAAACTTTCGTCGTGATGAATTTTACTTAATGCTCTCATACGGTAAATGATTTTTAGAATGTAATGTCACCCACGGGGGTTTTTGGGGCGTTACAAGACATTCCTCATCAGAATCAGTGCGCACACTGTCTGTACCTAATGATCACCTACTGACTACACTGACAGCAATCATGAGCTTTTGAGGTATAAATACTCCTTGCAAAAGGCAAGACGGGTATGCAACAAAAAACTATTTACTACAATACACACTCAGTGTTTTCTCCTTCCTCTCTTTTTCTCAAAGACTGACTAGATCGTCGGAGGGGATACACCGGAAAACACTCCGACGCCCTTCTAACTTGTTCTTCTTTGTTCCAGAGACCTCTTTCAGCCTTACTGGATCGTTCTTCTGCTCCCCCAGTGTCTCCTTTTGCCGTTCCAGGTTACCACCGGACCTCGCAGGCTGTTCCAAGCAGCGTGATTGGTCACTCAACTGGCTCACTCGAGTTCACCAAGGGAGAGATCTGTTCTCGTTTTTTATATTGTGCAGGATCTTGCACGCACAGAGCAAAAAAAAAAAAGCTAGACAATGATGGCTCTGTTAGAATAATAATAAGTTTTCAAAACTTCTCATTAATTTTAAATTAATATTTTCAATTTTTTGAGTTTATTCCTTTAATTTAATTTTTCAGTTTTTGGGTACAAACATAAAGACCTATTTTTAATACACCATAAAGTAGAAGCATTGAAAGAACATGATGTCATGTAGACGATATTAATGGCTGTGTCGAACTTGATTCCTCTGCCATACAGTTCATAGGCTGCAAACAGGGTGGGGAATATGCATTGAGTGCATTCTGGTAATTAGCTTCCAGCATACCGTTCTTCTCGTCAAGTTCGTCATTCTTCATGGCATCCTGTCCAAAAAGGCATCATGTTAAAGGGTTCTATATAGAGTAACATACAAGAAATACAGATCTGAAAGTGACTTCCAATAAGGATCCAAGTAAAGTTAACAAGATGATTCAACAATATTTGGAAACTAATAATTTGCATCTAAACAATGTGGGGCTACAATATGACAACCATACCCAAGCAGGGAAAATTTTATTTTTGCTAGTTGTAAACAGGTTGGGGGTATATCACTTGAATTAATTATCTAGGTTAGATGAGTTTCCAACTGGTTAAACATAAGTACTTACTCATTTTGAACCACCACAACTCCACCATTACAAGTACACGATAAGGAAGAGGAAGTCGCACCTAAATTCTTTGTACAGTGGACTCAGAACTTAACGTTCAATCCCTCTTCCCTGTCTATCTCTCTACATATAGGTGGTGGCTGTGTTTTTTGTTTTTTGGGGGGGTTGGGGGGGGGGGGGGGGGGGGAGGAGTGAATACATCCAAGAGTGGGTTTCCCAATTCCCCTCCTTGTCTTTTTGAGCTCTTCTTCATTCCACTCACAGCGTGTGTTTATAACTATGTGTTTGTTTGGGTGTGTGGGTGTTGTTAAAGTACACGTTGTAAAATCCGGATAAATTTAAACTTTTTACAAAAATGGACAAAATCGTAATTTACCGCTACAGTACGGGTTAAAAACCTGAATTTTTCTAAGACTTAGATGATGAAATGGACCTCACCGTTAAATTCGTCTCGCGAAATCTACTTACCCTGTCAATTTTCGTTGAATTCCGAAATATGTCGGATTTTTTGTGTTTTACGAGGCGGTTGAGTCTCGGATGATCCAAAAATAAAATTTTTAATAAAATTACAAAATTTGAAAAATAATTTAAGACAAATTAAAATAAAAATATTTTGAACTTGAACCGGAACGAAATTTAATCGTTTCGGGGCGAAGATAGACCTGGAAAACATAGGGTCGTGTGGCGCGTTGTGAACTAAGGATTTAGGGGGTATAAAAAGGGGGAAAAATCTGATTCCTCCCCCACATTCTTCAGCCGGTTTAACGTGAAAGAGGAAGAGAGGGAAAAAGAAGGAGCTCTCCACTTATTTCTAAGATATACAGAGATTGAGTGGTCGAATCCATTCGGGCCAAGAGGGAAAGTCGTTCTCCTCGTCAAGGGCTACACCTACGTACCAAAAATCGAAGAGTTTACCGAAGTTCCAAAAACGGGGCTTAAGGAAATCAAGGGTTTGAGTTTGATTGAAGTTCTTGAGGGTCTTCTACATGTTTTTTACGTTTCAAGAGGTAGGGTTCCTTCCTACTCGAGTTCATTTTATAACCTAGGATGCTTGTATAAAATGGGTATGTGGATAGGATGCTATATCACTTGCCTCTTATGGTAGATTTAATGAAATGGGTATGAGAATTGGATAGAATGAATTTTACCTTAAATTGGGTATATGAATTTGACTCAATGTGATTTATGGAAATTGGTGTTATTTGGGCATGCTATGTGTTTTTATTATACCTTGTGAATAGAGTGTGTTATTGACATATGAAATGTAATAACCTGCTTGTAATGTATGGTTGGACATAAATATGTTAATTTATGCTTATAGATATATCGACATTGTGATGGAATTGGTAATTATATGCTTTGGATATAAATTGTCATGGAATATATTTACATGTGGTTAATTTTGCTCATGTGGCATTCTTTACATATGAGCATGACATTGAAATAGCAATGGTGCATTATATTGCATTTGCACAGGAGAAACGCATCCATAGTCATGAGTGTGGGTGTGTGTGTGCATAGTTGATGTCAAACACCAAATAGGTGGATGATGGTGGGCTCGGGATAGTTGGATCAAAAATTCGACTGAGTTGCATGTTGTTATAGATAGAGAATTTGATCGGGGTTAGCAAGAAGGGCTAGACTATCCCTCGGATAAGAGACCCGGTGATTGGACACGCACTTCGTTGGTGTACGAGTCCAAAAAGTGTGTCAGTGTACGCGGAACAGTTGGTGGAAGTTCATAAATTTTGTGTCGGTTGGGTGCCGTTGGTGTAAGTCCATAAATACCCACCCCAAGAAAGACCCGAAGAATTTTTAATTAGTCATTGGGTGTATAGTGTCAATGGCGAGGCTTGGAAAGCCGATTTTTGTGCTCATGACATACATGGGGGAAAAAGAGTCAGGGAAAGCTCGAGTTGAGTTACATGAGTGGGTCCTTATCTCATTTCATGGCATGTTTTGCTAAGATTTCAACTATGAATAATATATTCTTAGTTGGGATATTTTTGGTGGTAAAGTGTTGCATGAACATTCATATGCACTTAGTTTGAGGAATAGCCTCGGTAGAAAATACTCTACTGGGCGTGGTTCACCCTATATGAAAAAATATTTCAGGTGCGGGACATACATCGGTGGAATGCCCTCACATGGAACCTCAAAGATGAAGAAAAGTCGGGTTGTGGCTTTTGAACCAAGTTTTTGTGTAAAATTTTTGTTAAATTCCATTTGACATGTAAATGTATGGAATAGTTTGTAATAGACCTTGTATATATTAGATTTTATGTGAAAAACATTGTTAAGTATGTTTTGGACGGAAAAAGATAGGTTTTAGAATGGATTGGAAACCGAAAAATTAATCCAACCATGACCAGAATAAAAAGCCTCCGACCAAACCTAACAAAACCAAACATATAGTGGCAGGATTAAGTTTGGTTTTTGGGCTGCAACAGACTGATTTACACACCAATCAGACCATTATAACCTGAATACAAAATGACATCCAATGAAGGACAAGGATATCCCAGACGTCAAGATATCCAACCAATCAGCTTGGACCGATAACAGCAGTCATACAGAAGGATACACGTAAGAAGGAAAAAGTGCTAAAAAGACAAACTCAGTCAAAGTGTATTTATTTGGAAGTGGGAAACAAATAATTCGATACACAACCAACAAACAATAGGATTGTGCGTTAGCATCTTTACTCCTGTTGCATGGATGCTTCATATTGAGTGAAGTTCCATATTGGGCTATGTCACATAGAGCACAAATTTGACTTGAAAAATTGGAAACATGTAGTAAAAGGATGAGAATATAAAGTAATGGCCCCATGTATTTAAATTTGAAAATTATGAGAACCAGTACTTAGACACGTAGCCACACTCGTAGCCACATTCATAGCTCAAACTGTCTTTAAAACTCAAACAACTTTATGAGTGGGGCAGAGACAACCTTGGAAATTATGACAGACATAGTGTTAAGAAGGATGCCTTGCAAGCAACAACTGCCAGTCTTTTATCTTGGTTTCTAATCAAAATTCCCTACTTGGAAGGGGGAAAAACTCCCAAGCCAAAGACCTTTTTCAACATGGATTATGTACAAGTGATACACGAACAATTTGCCAGGCTAAATGATTCTTCTTTAATCATAAATGTAGTATAATAGCTAGTTGCAAGTAAGGATCAAAATTTTGTTTCGGTACATTGTTTCGGTTACCTAGGAAATGAAAATGTTTCGATCTGTTGTAGAAACAGAATGAAAAAAATAAAAAATTTAAGAATTGTTTTTCCAAAATATATCAAAGTATCTTAAATATCTTGAAACATTTCGAAACAATTGTGCAACTACATCAAAACATTAGAAAAAACTTTGAAACATTATAAAACGCCTTGAAATATTAGAATATCGATTTAATCACTGATTCGTTTCGATCTTCTTGAAAATGAAAATATTTCAGACGTTTTGAAACGAAATTTTGATCATTGCCCTCTCCCTAAAGATGTAAGTTATACACATGTAGTCCACATCTTAACGAGTTAAACACAAGAAATGTATACGCATTGATTTTACCTGAACAGAGTAATGGTGGAATGTTGGCAGGAAACGTATCTTGCAGTACTCGTTGAAAACGATAGTAAACACCAGAAGCGGTATTGTGGAAAAGGATGCAGAGGCTTTTGACTTCAGCCCAAAAAGACCAATCATAGTGATTTGCATCAGAACGATTGCAACAACAATATAGTGATGAATGTATGGCCAATACTGACCACATGTCTCATAAGTAGTTTCATACACATCTTCAATCTGAAAGAATAGCATCACATTGTTATTGTTTCTGTAAATGTAACAATTACAATTACAAATGACATGAATTGATCATGCAAATGAAACAAAAAATTACAGAGCTATCTACCAAAAAGGAGAAGGCTATGCTCTAGCATATCAATAGACTACTAATTAATGTAGCCCATAAATTCCAAAATTCTAAATAGTGAAAATTCCTATCTAAATAAAATAAAATTATGCACGGTAGCTATAGTGTTTGTTAGTTACAGAAATTGTGGACTAGAGACGCAAGAAAGAAAATGAAAGAAATCCTAGAGTCATTAGGAGTTTTGAAACCTCAAGGCGAGAGAGGAAAAGAATGGTAGAAAACCCTACTAGTCATCAGGTACGGCCCAATGGAATTAGGGGCTGAAAGCGAAATTTATAAATGAGGTCATATTAATATTTAATAAAATAATAATAATAATAATAAATATTAAATTGCATTCTTTCTAAATATATATATTATTGCTTTTTGATTTGAGATGAGGAAATACAAATTAAGTTGCGGCATTTCAATTTTTTTTTCATATATCATCTCAATAAATAATATTGTGAAGTCATTTATAAATTTTTAATTATGGAACAAATTTATTGGGCTTTAAATTTTCTAATTGGGATATATTCTTATAACGCTTTTTGCTAGCCTAAATATGTTATGAATATAAAACTTTGACATGGGCTATTAATACACACACAAATTTGGGGTCTTCCATCTGAGTGGGACCTAAAGCCCATGCTTTAGCAGCCTAGTGGTTGGGCCAGCGCTGCTAATAATTAGGGGCCCTTGAATCCACAAGTAAAGAAGAGAGTTGCGGAGAAAGAGGAAAGAGATACGAAAGCCAAAGACTATTCAAAAAACTGGAGATTTCACATTTTCGCCCCATCCATAATGCATCTTATAAAGGCTATGAAAAGCTTATTTATAGCCTTACAAAATCCCAAGAATAGCTCAGATTACCAAAAAATCCCCCAACTAATTACAGTGATATATTAGGCTTTATTTTATCTCTACTGAGAACCTGGTTGTTGGAGAAAACTTGCCCTCGAGTTTTTTAGTTTTAGGTATTCCAAATCTCGTACGAGGATTTTACAAAATTTACTAACTCCTGGGGATTTCCTTAATTTTCTGAAAAATTGTGGCTATTCTAGGCCTATTCTATAACTTCTAAAAAGTCTGGAGATTCTACAACTTTGGTTAGGCTGGGGCTTCACTAGATCAAATTCTGGGACAAGTAAGTCTAAATGTGATTTAGGAAGTCTGGATGTGATTTAGGGCAAGTTGATTTGTATTCAGACGGATCCTTTTCAAATCAATTGGGTCAACATCTTTTGAATAAAAATTACAAATCTAGTCAATCGGCTCATTAACCACTTCAGAACCTGGATGCCTTTTTCTTCTTCACAATTCCCCAAAACTAGCAGTGGCAGCAGAGATGCACGATGGCAAAGGAAGTCGATGATATAACCAAAGAATTCCAAATTGATGTGTAGCGGAATTGTATAACTAAATAAAATGGTACAATGTAGACCTATATAAATTTTTTTTTTTCAAAACAAGAGAAAAATGGAAAGGGGAAAGAAGAAATAAGAATAAATATCAAACCTCCACAAGGATTAGGTCAAGAATCATCAATAAAATTATAAATAATTCAGTCTAAGCAAAAGATTACGTAATTATCCAGAGACTCGGTCTCCTATAAAAACAGAAGCTACTCTCTCAAAACTCTATCCAAAGTCCAACACTGCTCGCAGGTAAATAATCCCTAATTAAATAGTCTAATAAATATTAAAATGATCAAACCATGCAATTGTTATGCCATCACTACGATTCTTGAAACCTTAAATGAGAGAGAAGAAAGAGGAGAAAACCCTAAAATCCATTATGGAGCCTTGTATCCACAAGGAGAGGAAAGAGATACAGAGCCAACGGCTCTGCCAAGGACTCAAAAGATTTCACATTTTCAGCCTCCTCCATATTGCACTCTTAAAGAGCTTTACTTTTTTCTTTCCTAAAGAGATAACGTTCAAAGTTCAAACCATGCAGCAAGCATAACTAATCATTGTACAGGGTTCAACACATATATGGAAATTAAAGAAAAGACAAAAATACTGTAATTCTTTCATTAAACTAATGTATTTCAATTTTCAAATATAAATTTCAGATAAGTTTCAGGAAAAATTCATCGGTGCTAGAAGGAAGAGTCAAAAGCTACATTGGGACAAGAGCAATGAAATCATACGACACTCACAAGAAGAATAAAATTATTACTTTTGATAAACAGGTTTTGGATATTTTTAAAACAATTGCAGCAGAGGTACAATAGGCCTTCCAAATTTCAAGTTTTCATGGTAGTCTATACATAATGAAGTCGATGTAACTTATATTTGCAGGACACGATTGTGTCAAAAAAATGGAATGGTATCACAATGAGAAGGTGCTCCAACTCGTGGATATTAATATTGTACAAAAACCAGTAAAATTGTGCTCATGGTGTATGATTTATCATGGATAATCGAAGAATAACATAAACATGGAAAGCTGGCTTGTTCACTAATTTCAGGATATACAAGTTTTGATACTAGGATACAAAGGTTAGGCTAAAAAACACAATCACAAACACATGAAAGAAAAGAATTAACTAGCCCAAGTTAGTTTACAGCGAGTAAATGATAAAGCATCCAATTCAAAACAAATGGGCAATTAATGGAGAGGCCCAAAAGGCTTAAATATACTACAGTGTGAGATGCTGATATGTCAATGTGGGTGGGTCCCCACATATGCAACACAACTCACACATTGGAGAGATGAGATAGAAAAATAAGAGGTCAGATTCATGTATATAATGAAGTGCATTATGTCACAAACAAGGGAAACCAATCACTAATTAATGAAATTGATAGTGTGTCTCATGACTCATGCAAAAGCTCCCAAACCCAACTTTGACACCATGTTACAATATTTAGCTCAAAACCAATTGACAAAATGTAGAGAGGCCCACAATGCTCAAATACTGGTCTGAGAGATTTTATTGTACCAAAGTGACAAAGGTCTAGCAGTATGAATATAAATTACAGCTGCCTTTTGCTTTCTTCTCATTCCTTTCCCCTCTTGTACTTAGTTCAAGGTACATAGTGACCAAGTTAATAGTGCTGCTTGGATCAAAAAATAGTGGCACAATATTCAAACAAAGCAGCCACTTACAAGTGCAATATAAAATTATATGCTAATTTGATAATTGAAGGGAGATAGAGTCAACCTGGTTGATAAACACAACATAGCCTAGAAGGAAGTAGCCAATCAGAAATGGGAGAACCAACGGTGAGACGACTGCATATACCGCACCGATCAATATGGAGAGAGCAACAAAAGGAATAACTCTGTAATAAGGTAGCGAATAAAGATAAGGTTTTTTCTCCTTTCCACAGCTCCAGGTGAGTGATCTTATAGTATCCCAAATGAGTAACCCAGGCTGAAGTATCTCCACAGAAAATCCTGATAGCCCGTTTGTCAAGATGTATGTCATAAAGAAGTCTGCCTGAAAGAAAAGAACAACCACACAAGATCCATAAACCATTCGCCAAATCAGATTTTTGAGTTAACAAAGCAAATTTATTACACAACAAAATAATATACAGTTGATTTAGTGTTTTGAGTTCTCATTAAATTTTGGCTGCTTGCTTTATGTTCTCTTCATATTAATGTCCTTTTCTATATCAAGCAAGCCAGAAACCAAAGAGGCTACAGGAGAAGTCAAGTTAAATACAAAAACATACATATGCAATGAGAATCATTAAAGGTGCATCAAACTTACTTGGGCCGAGACAGCTAGAGCAAGACGACTGGGAATATCCTTCGGATGTATGAAAGATTCCCCAATCTGATCAAGTAAGGACCCCGATAACAAGCTTAAGAAGAATACATTTCCCACTAGAAAATAGAAGACCATGTTGCAAGCTCTTATATCCTTTTTACTTCTTGAAATATCACCTGCTAGTTCAGCCATTCCAATCATTGCAAATGGAACAACATATACAAATCCATTGAGAATGACACTTGGAAGATACCCTGTCACAATAGACCTTAGTCCTGGTCTGTAGAACAGTTAATGAAGTGTGAGAAAAACCAAAGTAAGCTCGGCTAAAAGATTTCTTGCAAATTGCAACTTCATAATTCCAACAAGGGCAATATGCATGTCAGAACCTTGGCACCAAAAGAGATTTACTTGTGCAAAGCGATAATGGAAAAGAATCCGCAATTAGGTACTAAATACTGAATGAAACATAATGTAGATCGGCAAAGGTCATCTATAACAAAGAGCCTTTACCCACTTTGTTTCCCATTAATCAAGGTGTTACAGTGGTAGACAGGATACAACCCGAATAGCATTATTGGTAATAAGTCACCCACAGGCTCAAATTCATGAACCGCCCAACACTTTTACCATTGCACAGTGCCATAATTCCCTAAATAATAAGGGATAATAACGGAAAGGCACGAATTCCTCTTCATTACTGGGTCTCTAAACACCCACCAATTCAGAATATTCATTTTTCCTACTTTTCTTTTGAAAAGTGTGCATACTTGAATAATAGCAAAACTCACTAAACAGCAATTTCAAGTGCCCATGTGCCAAACTAGGCCACTACATATAAGAGGTAAACAAGGATGACTGGATAGGTAAACATATGTGGATATGTATGGAACACAGCCCCTTCCATTTTTTTTGGCCTTTTCATAGACATAATGTGTATGAATACATAAGTTAGAATTTGGCTGAGGTAACTCTACTATAATCATGATTGCTGAAAGGTAGATCCTCATTTATTATGTCAGGCATGATTTCAGCTACAAGGTCAGTCAAAACATTTAATACAGTAACAAATTAATCAATTAATCTACTAGAGGGTAATATACTCAAAGAAAAGTATAAAAGAGTTATTTAACACTATCTACCATTTACCTTAACCCAAACCCATTCTAGAAGGAACCTTGTGCACTGGGGCAATTTAAGTTTTAAACCCATGCTGTCATTTTATTTATCGGGAGACCAATCAGGGAACTAAGTCAAAAATCAAACATATTGCACCACTAGTAATAGTGTGGGGGATCATAAAAAACTGGAACTTAGGTCACCATAATTGGATTTAACCAGCAGAGACATCTTTAATTCAATATATTTCCTTCCTTTTATTCTCTTAGAATATAGAAGAAGAGAAGTCAAGAATATGAATATTAGGTAAAAATAAATAGGTCAAAAAGAGTAGAAGCATTCAGATAGAAAAGAAACGAATGGAAAAGGAGGCCACAGAGAGAGATAAGATGCCAAATTAGACCAGTTCAGAATTTAGGTGATGATTTCTTTCTTCTATAATCCAACCATTGATGGTTGGTCAATGACGTCCAATATCATCAATGTGGTTGTCTTCATGGAAATTAAGCATTGGCATTACTGATATTTGGGTCCTCTCCATCTTGCTGCATGGAAAGTTCCCTTAAGCCGCCATATACAAATGAATCAATACCACATGGAAATAGAAAAAGAAAACCAATGCAGTGATAGATCGTAACTGCTTACTGTTCACCTACACATTTTCTAGCAGATCAAAGGCACCCGTTAGCCAACAGAGGTAAGAACACTAAGGTTATATATGCCAACTTCTCAATGTTCGCAAGTCATTCCATCTCTGTAAGAGTAGTAAATTGCAGATGACCTACTCTAAGTGACTAAGCACTCAATTTTGAAACACAAAAGATGTCATAAAGCTTAGAAATTCCAAAAGATCTAACAGCATGACACCTTACATCAACTCTACAGCCATGGCTGGAGGAAACCATTTCCTTAATCTTTCAAATTTCACTATTCCCTGCACTGCTGTGACTGGGATAGCAAAGAATATCGTAAGAAGTGATGCTGCAATAAATACTCCAGTTTTACAGAGTGGCAAGTGACTATATGGAATGGAAAAATTCCTCCATAAAACATCCCTTGGTTCTGGAGCCATTTCAGTAATCCATAGAAGTGGATTTGAGTGGTGCTGAGATTGGGCAGCTAAGGTAGCCCCCCGTCGGCACCTGAATGTAACAAAAGCAACAGGCAACTCCTGCAAAACATGAAAAATAGAAAACCCAATTTCAAAATTATTCCCAAGCAATCAATGGAAAGATGAATGAAAATAGAAAATTAAAACTATGCATAACCATATTAGTCTGCATTAGGCATTCACAATCATTGATAACCATGCATCCGGAGATGTCCACTTGTTAATATAATAGTCTGCACACTATATTTTACCAAAGTCATTCTAAACTGCTATTGTTAGTATAAGTGTTTTTGGGCTGGTGGCCCAGGATGGGGGAACCTGAAGCCATCACTATACTATGAATTTATGATCAATCCTATTAGAATTAGTTCAGCATCACTAGAACCGCCACTACATACCATGAATATTACATGTAAAGATCTTATGTCAGCAGTTCTGACCAAAATCTGTATAAATTAATTTTCAGAATACAACTAAAACAGTCGATGAGGTCATAATAATGTACTAGGAAATTATGAAAACTGAGTAGACCTTAGCATATTACTTCAATACTGTTGGAGATATAGTCTAGTTTATTAGGATTTCTTTTCTCTTTTTTGCTCTTACTATGACTTTTATGTTTTGCCTAGACCAGAGGGGTATTCAAATCACTTTATACTATTGTTTGACTATATATACGAGACTCTACTCTTAATTTGGGTATCCCTTTTCACTAACAGATATTCCAAGTTAGTATCTGAGCCATACGCTAACCCTAACCCTAGCCTTCAACAAAATCCTAACCCTAGCCTCCACCATAACTCTACAGCAGCTACACCGAAACACCAGGGAAACCAGCAACCAAGCATCAACTGCATACCTTCAGTAGCGACCAAGCCAACCCATCGACAACCCACCACCAAACCAAACCAGCAACACCACCCAACCCAGAAACCCAGCGACCAAGCCAACCCACCGACATCCCAGTGACCCAATCCCCAAACATCATCCCACACAGCAACCACACACTGACAGCCCAACATTGAACCAGCAACCCAAGTCCAGCAACGACCCAAACCATCGAAAACACCCAGCCCAACCCAAAACCCACACAACCCACTGCCCCACCTAGTAGCAAAATCAACCCAACGACCCAATCCAGCGGCCCCGCCTTCGTGCTTCGCGCTCTTCGTCGTAGTGCCGCCATCTCTTCTCGCCCCCGTCTTTTTTCCTAGGGTTGCCGCATCTAGGACCTTTAAGAGGAGTTGAATCCTCTTCTCCATTGATCTGCTTTTGATGCAGTAGATTAAAAATATATTTACTAGATTTCTGAATACCGTGACCTGATTATTTGGAACTTTCTGGTCTTTCTTTATCTATCGCTACTGTTTGACTGGAGGTATATTGTTCTTCCTTATTTTGTCCCTCTATTTATCTTAGAGTATTTTCTGTTACGGGTGCCCACGTATTGTTAATATAGCTACTACTGAGAGACTTGAGACTCCTACTATTGAGACCCTTATTGTTAGTACTTCCACTTGGAATGTATCACCTGGTTCTCCCACTTTTATGTTTGACCAGTATACAGTATCCATTGCCACAGTTATATTCCCGCCAATGTCAGGTATGATCTCTAAGAAGGTTACGGCACAGTTGTTGAATAATTGTAACTTTGTGCTGAGTGGTCACGCTCATTCCAGCTTTGTTTAGGCCGTGTAGGGAAGCTTGGTTGACTGACAGGATCTCACCCAAAGTCAACTGATAACGAACCTAGATATTCTATGTGGTTCTCTAAGAACAGCCCTATTCTTGAATGGTTATTTTGTTCGATAGAGCCATCTATTTGCAAAATTCACCAGTTTCATAACTTTGTTCCGAAACTATAACGTGTATTATCAGAGATGTATTCCCAGACAGGACAGAGAGTTTGTATTTCTGAGCTTTCTTAGGAGCTCTCATATGCTCGGCAAAGAGATATGATGGTTCAAGATTATTATGGTTATTTGACCCAGCGCTAGCTTGAGTATGAGATTCTACGTCTTCTTATTGCCATTTCGAGGATAGAACTCAAGGGAGCGACATTTCTACATACTCGAGAGCAGGAGGATAGAATTCACAAGTTTCTTTATGGGACTTCGTGATGAATTTGAGAGACTTAATTCCCAGGTCTTGTCGATGATGAGGCTTTTGACTCTTTATGAGATGTATGCGATGATTGAGCAGCACAAGCATCGCGTCCGTAGTGCATCACTTCTAGTTGCGACCCTAACTCCTCAGGCCGACCAGATGTCCCTTGCAACTGCTACAAGGTCTCATTCAGGACCTTCAGCCAAGAGTGGATAGAGCCCAAATCAGCACCGGCCGAGCACCCCAGATCAGCGCAGACGGGAGAATTCTCGTTAGTGTGATTATTGTGGTCGATCAAGACATCTCAAGGTTACTTGTTGGAAGCTCCATCCGGAGCTTAAGCCATCTCCTCGTGGTCGTACTGCTACTATTGTTGAGGTACCACTACCTATTGCCACTGCCACTGCTCCTGCTCCTGCTCTTGCTCTTGCTATTGCTACTACTGCTCCTCCTTGACAAAGTAATATGGACGCTATCACTTTTCGATTGGATATACTCATGTCCGCCTTGACTTCTCAAGATTCGACTACTACTGCTGTCACTACTACAGGTATACCTCATGCCTTTTATGCTTATGCCAATCCGTCTCCTATGACAAGTGAAACCCATCAGGTGCGAATGGTTACATGACAAGTGAAACCCATCACTTCACCATTTTTGACGAACAGTTACATACACAGGTTCAGCTAACAGATGGAACACATGCCCCTATTGTTAGTAGGGGTACAGTCCGCCTCCTAGATAGCTTTACATTACGTTCGATTTTTCATGCGCCAAAGTTGGCTATAAATCCATTATCTGTACATCAATTAACCAGATATTTTCACTATGAGGTTGTATTTTTATCGAATTCATGTTATTTGTAAGACCTGAGTACCAGGAGAATTATTATTAGGCGACATAAGAGAGGTGGACTATATTATCTAGGCAATCCACCTCCAATTTTATCAGTTTCTCCACCTACAATACCTTCACGTACTTTGTCTTTATCTGTTCCTAACTTGCATGCTAGTATTTTACCTAATAGTTGTCGTTATGATTGTTCGTCACAAACTGTTCAGTTGTAGCATGACCGTTTAAGGCATACAAATTTTAAATATTTACGTATATTATTTTCTGTTTTGAGCAATGCTTGTGTTAGTAGTAAACTTGACTGTGTTATATATTTCCTATTAAAACATGTTAGTACCAATTATATCCCTTGCATGCACCAGTCACCCAAGTCATTTGACTTAATACACTCTGATATTTAGGGACTCTCTTCTATTACTGCTCTATCAAAAGCTCAATACTATGTCACATTTATAAAGGACCATACCTGTTGTACTTGGGTCTACCTTTTGTATAAGAAGTCCGATGTACTCCCTATTATCATTCAATTTTTTCAGATGATTAAGACACAATTTGATATCATTGTTCGTGTTCTTCGTTCGGATAATGTCAAAGAATATGTGTTTGATGCCTTAGTGTCTTACCTTTCTTCTCAGGATATCCTTCAGCAATTCACTTGTTCTGAGCAAAATAGAATTGCTAAAAGAAAAAATAAGAGTCAGATAGGGATGGTACGTTGTATGCTAGAGGTATGGGAATACCAAAATCTTATTGGCATTTTACTGTTTTGACTTCTACCATTTTGTACAATCATACATCGAGTCATATTCTTTAGCATAGAGCTCCCTTACAGGTCTTATTCCTTGAGTTGATACTTTTTTCGGTCCCCCCTCGTATTTTTTGCTGCACATGTTTTTATTTAGAATAGGTCTCCTACTCGCCATAAACTTAATGATAAAGCAATTCATTGTATCTTTGTGGGCTATTGTTATCAGTCTAAGAGGTATCAGTGTTATAATCCTTTCACAGTCTAGATGTTACCTTTTTTGAGCATATTCCATATTTTTCTTCCAGTCCTGTGTCTGCCCCTCTAGTTGCTAATACTACCTTTGATTTTCCCTTACCATAAGAGCCAGAGCCATTAGTCACTGTTACTACAGAGTCACTAATCTCTTCTCCTCCAGAGTCACTCGTCCCTATCACCACAGAATCACCAGTCTCACCTCCGTTGCAGGTCTATGTTCATCGCCCTCGCTCTCATCTCCTGCTGATGTCCCCTTATTTTAGGCGATGCAGGTAATATTTCTCAATTCGTTGAATATATTGATGCACCTATTGTTAGTATTGATCAGATTACAGATAATAAGCCAGTTACTTTACCTGATGAGACGTTGTCAGTGGAGGATGATGATATAGGCGTTGTTATCCTCAGTGAGATCGTCATCTAGTTGTTCGTTATGGTTGGACTGCTAAAACTTTATATTCAATCTTTGGTTATATTTCTTATAGCGATCTGTCTCCTACATTTCGAGCTTATAGTATGACCTTATCAGATACGCCGGTTCCTCGCTTTGTTTCAAAGGTTATGCGGGAGCCCTAGTGGGTTCTTGTCATGCAGACGGAGATGGACGTTTTTCAATGTAATCATACATGGGATCTTATCTCTTTACCTTCAGGAGTGAAGCCTATTAGTTGTCGCTGGTTTACACTCTAAAGTTTCTTGCGAATGGTACTATTAATCGTCATAAGGTTAGGCTTGTGGCGAAGAACTTTACTTAGGTATTAAGTCGTGATTTTAGTACTACCTTTGCCTTAGTGGCAAAATTGACTGCCGTTCTATTGATTATTTCTCTAGCTATGAAGTACTCTTAGTCTCTTCACCAGTCAGATGTGAAGAATGTATTTGTTCACGATGATCTGGACGAGACTATTTATATGGATCCACCAACTGGCTTTCGTGGTGAGGGGGAGTATGCTGAAAAGGTATGTCGACTGCGTAAGTCTCTTTATGGACTAAAACAGTCACCACGAGTCTGGTTATCACTTTAGTTGTGTAGTTATAAGTTTAGGGTTCACCAGATGTTATTTTAATCATACATGCTTCATTCAACGGAATATTTCTGGACAATATGTCATCCTTCTAGAGTATGTGGATGATATTATTATTACTAGAAATGAAGTTTCTAGGACTGCACAGGTCAAAGTAAACCTTGGGAAGGCTTTCAATGCGAAGAACCTTAGATTTCTGCAATACTTACATAGGATTGAGGTTATAGCAGCCAGGGTATTGTTCTTTCTCAGAGGAAATATGTTTCAGATCTTCTCTCGGACACTGGGATGCTGAGATACAAGCCGGTATCATCACCCATGATTCTAAACCTGAAGCTCACTGCTGAAGATGAGGAATTAAGAGATTCGACTATCTATCAAAGGTTGGTAGGTAGACTTATCTACCTAGCCAACACTAGGCCAGACATTTCATTCGCTATCAGCCAAGTTAGTCAGTTCATACAAAGGTCGTGTCTGCCTCATCTTGATGTAGTTTATCATATTCTTTGGTACCTTAAGTCTTGTCCTGGACTTGGGTTGTTTTATACATCAGGATCTCAGACGGGTTCTTTAACCTGTTATTCAAATTTACATTATGGGGGAGCGAGTGATAGTCGATCTACTATGAACTTCTGTGCTTTTTGAAGGACTCATCTTATTTCTTTGAAGAGCAAAAAACACGTAATTGTCTCCCGCTCGTCAATAAAGGCAGAGTATTGGGCACTGACACTTGGCACGTGTGAGATTATCTGACTACAATCGATTCTTGGTGAGCTAGGATTTACACTGACTTCTCTATCTACATTATATTGTGATAATCGATCTGTTATTCCGCTTGCTTCTGACTCTGTACTACACGAGAGGACGAAACAAATAGAGATCGATAAGGTTAGTTATGGTATTGTTACTCTATTGTTTGTAGAAATCAATAATCAGGTTGCGGATATTTTTACCAAACGTGTCACTCTATCCATTCTTCGGGACTCCGTTGTCAAGTTTGACTTAGTTGACATTTTTGCGCCTAACTTGAGGGAGAGTGTTAGAGATATAGTCTAGTTTATTAGGGTTTCTTTTCTCTTTTTTGCCCTTACTATGACTTTTATGTTTTACCTTAGACCAGAGGAATGTTCAGGTCACTTTATACTATTGTTTGACTATATATACAATGCTCTACTCTTAGTTTGGATATCCCTTTTCACTCACAGATATTCCAAGTAATACTGAATCAGATTTTCATATATATCAAATCACAAAAATTACGTCAAAATATTCGAGAGAACTATAATAAAACACACTACCATTAAACTTTAGTGCTTCATAACATAAGAGATGCAATCTGCGATTATCTCCAGGGTACTTGGTTTCAAACCTCACAAAAACAAATTTCATAAGTCTAAGCCCATCAAATATAGAAAGGTTAGAATTTGAATGCAAAACTTTAGGCTATCAAGCACCGTGCCTTGGAGAGAAGATCCAGATCTGAGTTTCTGACGCCCAAACACTACTGGCCATTCACACTGGCAATCAGAACGTTTTGCTAACATGTAAATTTACCTTCTGCTCAAGCATCTTTTTGCACCGCATATGATGTATCCTAAGACAAACTTCCTGAAGCATTTCCTCAAGCCGTTCTATTTTTGTATTAATTTGCAATGCATCGGAGTGTGAAAATCCTCTATTGTGTTTCTTAGTCAAGGAATGCTGTCTCAAGTCCTCAATCTTTTTCGCAATAGCCTTTGCCTGGTTCTACACATAATACTGTCAATAAGTGCTCTGCTTTTTCATTTTTTGGCTGCAGAAAACTGATGCAAGTGACGTGCATAGAGACAAGTACAAGCAAAATACAGACAGACAAATAAGACGGGCTAAATAAACATTTAATGGAAGATAAGGTCTTTGAGAACATATAATTGGAAAAAAGTCTCTGACTCTAAGTTTAAGCCGCTGAGCCAACAATAAGAAATGTTTTAAAAAATCATCCATCTAATTTCGTTAGCATTATTTAGCTATACTTCAGTTTGTTTTTTTCCATTCCACTGAAAAAAGGAATGGAAAAAAAAAGGATCTTACCCTCACCCCACCCCAAAAAAAAAGCCCCAAAAACTCCAACACCACCAAAAAGAAATGCTAAAAGCAGATGAAGGCCAGTAATATACTGCAATTTCCAATATTTTTATGTTTCTCTAGGGATTTGAATTTATAAGCTAAGTGAATTTGTGGTATTCAGAGAATAGGAAGCTATTGAGTTTTTATAAGAGAACAGCTAATTGTGGAACTAATGAAGGCTAGCTGATTCTCTTAATGTCTGCTAGTCTAAAATACTAGTATACTAGAAGATGGAACATTTATGAGAATATTAAGCAAATGAGATGCGTATGCGAGGAAGTGGTGTGAGAATATAACCACAGCCTTTCTACATGATAGAGAGCAAGGTGAGGACAAATCTCCCCCATTGCGATGTCAATTTTTTAATCACTTTCTCCTCAAGTATTTTTTTCAGTATAGAAAGGAAGGAAACAAAGTGAAGATAAATAAAATTCAAAGCAGGCATGTTTAAGCCATTTTGTCATTTTCAATTTCTCTAAAATATACTTCGAAATTTGAAAATTGAATTTGCAATTATTAATGTATCTAGGTCAGAGTTTTGTTTAGGATAAAAAATTATATTGCCCATATAGTAAACTACAAAATAATTTCGTCCAATACTTGTCATGCAAAGCTGAAGTGCTAACTATATCATGCATAAGGTACCAAGTAATTTCACCTTCTATCCTTACCAGCAAATCCTCAAGGTCCTTGCTGTTGTATAGAATGTGGAAAGATCGGTAGGTATACGGATGATGTTTAGAGAAAAAGTGATCTACACAGCAGCCATGAGTCTTGTGTTCATCGCAGATGGGAATTTCTCGAACTAGAACAGTGAACTGATAAGGTTGATGCCTTAGATTACAAAGTCGCTGTATCCTTTTCATCAATATGTCATTATATTCCTGGAGATGACATGGGAAAGGAAGTCACCTGTTATAACTTGTCTTAATACCAAAGGTCCATATAAAAATGAAACATATCTTACAGGATGCGTAAAGACTGAATGACCCCGTTCATTCAGATAAAGTTATGTAAATATATCGTAATATGCAATGAGGTTATTATTACCTCACCCATAGTTACAATAAACAGCAAATATCCAAGCAAATTGCCTGGCCTGATTTCAACTGCTCATCCAGATTCTGCAATAGATAATTCACTCTTTCATTCATCAAATCTATCGATTCCACTACTAATAGGTTAATCAGCATTCTCTTAGTGTTTTTGAAACGCTCCTACAGGTCTCTGAATATTCAAATGGCTACGTAGTTGCAGTAAAGCTAAATCCAAATAGGTCAAATCACCATGAAAAGGCACAAACGTCAATTTAACTCTTCCACTGTCGTAGTCAATTCAGAATATGAACAGTCTGACCTTTTGTTTGGCCAAATACCTATTGTGCACATAATGCAGAACAGAATACACAAACTACCAAATCCAGTGACATATAGATGGTTAGAATCATCGCTCACCAAAAATTTTGCAATTTAGTCAACCAGTAGATGACCGTTCAAAAAAACCAGATAGCTGGTCTGCAGTAGCACTATATTGATTCACTATAGTGATTCAGATGTTGATTGAGTTAACGATAAACATAACCGAACACTTCAAGAATTTAAATTCTAAAGTGCAAACTAATTCGAATTTTCAAATGCCAGCAAATCTGAAGCCATAAGGTTACTACTATAGAACATTTAACTTAGATAAAACTTTGAACAATTTTGCACACACCTTTCAGAAGTTGGTTTTTGTTATCAATCTATATAATGAGGGAGCTAGCATTGTTTGTCTTTAGCTTTTCACGGTTGAGATCGCTTTAAAGTTATTCATCTGACAATCCTAATTGATCACCCAAATTTTTTAAGAAGACTTTCATTCTTTTTACAACTCTAAGACTCTCATCTCTCATATAACTTTCTCTCTATCTCATACTTCCATATTTCAGACATTTTAAAATTTAAACACACTTTCTCACTCTCTGTTAGCATTATTTGTCTTTGACTTTTCGTAGGTAAGATCATTTTAAGATTATTCATCTGACGACCCTAATTAATCACCCAACTTTTTGAAAAAGGCTTTTATTCTTTTTACAACTCTAAGACTCTCATCTCTCAAATAACTCTCTCTATCTCATACTCCTATCTCCCAGACATTTTAAAATTTAAACACACACACTCTCCCACTATCTGTTATCTCTCTCTCTCACATACCTATCTGACACAACCCAAAAATTTCCCCCCACTCTCTTTCTCATACTCCTCTCTCTCAGATGTTTTAAAATTTAAACACACTTTCTCATTCTCTGTTTTCTCTTTCTCTCTCACACACATACCTATCTGAAACAGACAGACAGTCAAAAAAAATTTGCGACTGAGATTGCTCTAAGATTATTCATCTGACGGCCCTAATTGATCACCCAACTTTTTGAAGAAGATTTTCATTTATTTTACAACTCTAAGGCTCTCATCTCTCATCTCTCATATAACTCTCTCTATCTCATATTCCCATCTCTCAGACGTTTTAAAATTTAAACACACACTTTCCCAGTCTCTGCAATCTCTCTCCCATACCTATCAGATATGGCTCAAAAATTTTTCACTCTCCCTCTCTATCCCATCTCTCAGATGTTTTAAAATTTAAACACACTCTCTCTCTATTATCTCTCTCTCACACATACCTATCTGATGCACCTCAAAATTTTTTAGGTTTTTAGACATTCTTTTGTAAGGTAGTTGAATTTCTGATAGTAAAATTTGACCCAAAAAAAATATAAAACCCAACCTAAAAAAAACAAGTGATATCAATTGCACTAAAAAAAAAAATTCAAAGCCAAGTTAATTACCATCGACACTTCCACGCAAACAAAAAGTACAAATATACAATCCATAAATAAAACTTTTAAGTTGTTATTCATACCAAAAATAAATCAATACTGTAGGAAAATCTATAGTTCTCAAAATAAAATAAAATAAAAACCAAAACTCAAGCTAATCACTAATAAAAAAAAATAAATGAACAATAAAAAAACAAGTATACCAATTGCACCAAAAAAAATATTCAAAGTCAATCTAATCGTCATCATCACTTCCACATAAACAAAATGTACAAATATCTAATTCATAAATAAAATCGTCAAGCTATTATTCATACTTCGTCACCAATATGCTCAAAATTCTATTAAAACCCATATTTCTTAAAAATCCAAAGCTCGAGCTAATCAACAATTAAAAAAAAAGACCAATAAAAAAAATAATAATACCAATTGCACCAAAAAAAAATATATTCAAAGTCAATCTAATCGCTATGTGTTGAAATTATTCAAATGTCCTATCATTGTGTGTTGAAATTTTACAAGTAATATAGTATTTTTAGGCACAGCCAATGAATCAATGACTAGTCAATTGATAAGACATCAATTTTCAGACACACAGCAGCCAAGAGATGTGATTTCACTGTCCCGTGATTCCAGCCGTATCATACATGTAACATTAATATGTTACCAAAATAAAGACACATAAATAAGATGGCAATCGAGTGAAGTTCAGATGATGGTCTAAGGATCATAACAACTACTAAATTTGTGAAGTTATGCGATTTATAGTTCAGATGATGGTTCAAGGGTCATAACAACTACCAAATTCGTGAAGTTATGCACTGTTGGAGTATAGTCTAGTTTATTAGGATTTCTTTCCCCTTTTTTACCCTTACTACGACTTTTATATTTTACCTAGACTACAAGGATGTTTAGGTCACTGTGTATTCTTATTTGGCTATATATACGGGGCTCTACTCTTAGTTTGAATATCTCATTCACTCACAAATATTTTTAGTTGGTATCAGAGCCAAACTCAAACGCAAACCCTAACTCTAACTTCCACCATACTTGGCAACCACAATTCCCCGACAAACCAGCCACCAATTGCCCAGGCCACCCACCATTCCACCGACAAAATACCATCCCACCGACTTCTTTTCCTCCACTGCCCATCCACCGACAGCCCCATCCTTCACTGCCCGGCATAAAACCGACCAGCATAACCCAGCGACAAGAACCCAGCCTAAAACTTAACCGACAGCCGAGCCACATAAAATACTACACCTTCCCACAACCCAACAGCCCAACGACATAAAATACTACCTCAATCCAAGTCTCTCAAACCAAAGCAATACAGCACCGACATACCCATACCACTTGACATACCCATAGCACCAATAAGCCAACACAAATATCCAGCCCATCACTGAAAATACACTGCCCATTACCCACACACTTTCAAGCCACCAATTGCCTCTCCAGCTGCCAAGCATACAAGCACGAAGCCGACTGCCACTAGTACCACCGACTGCCTCTTCGTTACACTGCCGACAAATCAACACAAATACCCAGCCCATCACCGAAAATACACTGCCGACTGCACCCAAAGCCCACATCAAACTAGCAATCCAAACATAAGGTCAACAACCCAAACCAGCCCAGTACCCACTCCAGCAAACCAGCCCACTGTCGGATCGCTCTCTTCCTCGCAGCTTCGTGTTTTGCCTTCGTGGGCCAAATTATTTGGGACCGTATGACCTTTTAAGAGGGGTTGAATCCTCTTCTCCGTTGATATGCTTTTGATGCAGTAAATCACTTATTTATCTTTATTGGATTTCTAGGCACCGTGACCTGATGATTTGGGAGCTTTCTGGACCTTTTTTATCTGTCGCTACAGTTCGACAGGAGATATATTGTTCTCCCTTATTTTGTCCCTCTATTTATCTTAGAGTTGTTTTTCTGTCACGGTTGTCCTAGTATTGTTGATGATATGACTACTACTGCGGGAGTTGAGACCCCGACCGTTGAGATATCTGTTAGTACTTCTATCGGGTATAGGGTTGACAGCACTCGGCCCAACGCCGTCAAGATACCCCACAACAGTGTAGACATGGGAATTCTCATCAGTGTGACTATTGTAGCTGACTAGGACATCTCAGGGTTGCTTGTTAGAAGCTCCATCCAGAGCTTAAGCCACCTCCTCGCAGCCGTACTGCTGTCATTGCTGAGGCACCACCACCTATAGTCATTGCTCCTACTACTACAGTTACTGCTCCTCCTTGGCAGAGTGATATGGATGCTATCACTTTTTGCTTGGATATACTTATGTCAGCCCTAACTTCTCAAGGTTCGACTACTACTATTATGACTACTACAGGTATACCTCGTGCCTTTCCTACTTGCACCAATCCGTCTCCCCTTTGGATGCTGGACTCAGGTGCAAATGGTCATACAACAGGTGCGGCCCATCATTTCACCTCTTTTGACGAGCAGTTACATACTCAAGTTCAGTTAGCAAATAGTACACATGCCTCTGTTGTTAGTAAGGGTACAGTCCGCCTCCTAGATAACTTTACATTATGTTCGGTGTTTCATACGTCAAAGCTGGTCATGAACCTATTATCTGTACATCAGTTAGCCAGAGATTTTCACTGTATAGTTGTGTTCTTATCTGATTTGTGTTATTTGCAGAACTTGAATACTGGAAGGATTATTATTATGGGACATGAGAGAGATGGACTATATTATTTAGGCGATCCACCTCTGGTTTCACCAGTTTCTCCACCTCCACTTTCATCATCTGCTTTGTCTTTATATGTTCCTAGCTTGCATGCTAGTATTTTACCTAATACTTGTCATTATGATTTTTCATCACAAATTATTCAGTTGTGGCATGGCCGTTTTGGGCATACAAATTGTAAATATTTATGTATGTAATTTCCTGCTTTGAGTAAAACTTGTGCTAGTGGTAAACTTGACTGTGTTATATGTTCCCTATCAAAACATATTCGGACCAGTTATATTCCTCGCATGTACCAGTCACCCAAACCATTTGACCTAATAATACAC